ACTGATTAACTAATAGACTTAAATTCCATATTTCAATGCTTCTGGACAAAACCAGGAGTATCTGCGCCTACCCATGGACCGGTATGGAACTGTTCATATTTCTGAAAAAGCTGAAAATGTCTCTAAAGTCTGAAGTTAGTAAGGCGGCATAGAGACATCATTTGCCCAAAACGCCTAAGTTAAGTCTTGACATAACACGAATGCCAGGGAATGCCAAATTTGAAATGGGTGGATGACAAAATACCGAACGAGGCGAAAAGTTCGCCATCAGTTGGGATAACTATGGCTACTTGGACGAAAGGCAGGAGTGTAAACAACCCCCTTAATACTAACTTATGCCACAGAAATCGTTACTTATTAGTTTTATTCATTACATACCTCATTGTGAGTGAAGGCCGACGATGGCTGGGCGGAAAAAAAATAGTTTGTAGCCAAATTTGTTTGCAACAACAGTGCCATTGGATTGAGTCGAAGAGGGTTTGTTAAAATGATTGATAGACTTGCCAAGTCAAAGCCCTTTCTTTAGATCTGGTGCATAAAATCGACTAAACCACATCTTTCACGGCACCAGTTAGCAGTAATGTCCGGTAAAAAGGAGAAATAATTCAAGTTTTCGGCAAGAAGAATCCCCCAGCAGCCTTCATGCAGCGAGTATTTGTGTAGAAGGTTGCACGATTAAAGCGGACACTTGGAGCTGTTTAATTTTGCAAGAGGTGAACACACTAAAAGTCGGTCTCAAAAGGCATGAATAAATAAAGATACCAAAATAAAGTTGATTGTGGGAATATCTTAACTCCTGTCTGTAGATTCGTCAAAACAAAGAAGAATGCTGGTAGTGGATGTACCGAAAGACGTTTTAAATCCGCCTAGCGTAAGCTAATCCTCCTGTAATTCGTAAAAGTGAAGGGCACGATTAAAAACTTGTAACAAAATTGTAAAAGGGTCAAAAGGCTAGACCTGCAAATTTGTAAGAGAAGTGACTTGGTTGTTTGCTTGACCCTTAGTATTACCAATGAATCAAAGCATCCGAAGCATCGTCGCAGGGCCATCCAGCCTGTATTTACGAAATCAGCTTTATAACTCCTTCGTTTGACAAAAATTTGCCCGTTTTTTCGCAGTATTGAAATTACATCTCAACATTAAGTCATTATTCGTTTTTGAAACCTATTTGAGATGAGGAAGCAGGACAGACCGATACCCGCGGACGTGGTTCTACGAAGAAAGAGGATTGCACAACTTCCTTTAACTGGGAAGAATAGTTGGAGCGCCAGTTTTCCTTTCGCCAAAAGGCAAACTTTTGGACCATTTTCTTAGCCACATGCAAAAACATCCAAATATCTCACTCATCCACTAATGGCTCCGATCGGCCCTTTGTCAGCATCAAAAAAGCAATTTCAAAATACTGTGTTACCATTAGATTTACCTCATGCACTTCTGTTTGACAAAAAGGGAAAACCAAGAAGCTCTTGTGACTATGCAAGGCATCTAGTCAACAATGACGCATTGAAACAGCATTGCTTGATGAGAGTAAATTTGGACTTTTCATCATTGCACCAGCGCTGAGAAGTCCAGCCTCCGAATCTAGCCTCAGTAGACGCGAGGCGAAAGACGCACGTTTCGCTCGAGTAACGGGCTGCTACGTTGGTAATAATCGGAGGCGAATCCAACCCTTAAGATCAGTATACTCCAGACGGAGAATACTGTGAAGACTCCTCTCCTTGTGGGTCAAAAATGTCATCTACCGCCGATGACTATCGAACTTTGCAGGAGGGCCCTGAAGAACTGTTTCCTGATGCCATGGTCTTCTAGCTGTGTTGTTTTAGTCGAGGGGCGCCAAAGGATTATAATGCAACAAGGTAGTAACACGTGCACTGAAAATTCGTTTAAACATACCAAGTTTCATTACACCACACTCCTATGTAGGCTAAAAATACGCCAGGATTCACTGGAAACAAGAATACTCAGAGCTGATGTGCACTTAGATCGCAACTGAAAACAAAGTTCGGATCATGTTTGACAAAAAATTCAAAGTGTGTATTGTCTATTGTTAGCCTTGCAATTTTCGTCAGTCTGATAGTTACTGCTAGATGGACGATGGAGTGCCTGAATCAGCACATTTTATAGCCAAAAGTGAGCAATCGAGTGCGTTCAAAGATAACATATAATTAGTGATAACACTGTGATATTCATTTGTTTAAATGTCAAAACAGCACCGTCCACCCTGGCTCTTTATAAAAAGATATCCTTTTCAAAAAAACCAATCTTCCCGATCAAAGGGCTTGGGAAGATCGTAAAGGTATGAAGCACTATTCAGTACTGAGCTACCAAAAGTAAGCTGACCAATCATCAACAACATAATATGTATCGCATTCTTCTAATAATTAAGTAATTTTGAAGAAGGAATGAAGCGAAACCTCTAAACCCTTTTTGAACACAGTTTACGTGCTTCAGTGTACTGTGGAACTTTACGGCCTTTGTCGAATCCTGAGCTACCTCTTCAACCGTTGCCAGGGTCAGAAGTAACTAAAATATTTTCGATCATTCAGCACACCACCTCATCTAAATTCGCTTTGGTGTGCCAGTTTCCTTACCAGGATAAAATAGCAATTGACTTAGATGCAAAAGCAGCATTAGTGGATGAATAGTGGAGAATGAAGGAGTGTTTTAAATTTAACGGTAGCCCACAGGCACTGAATAAAAAGTGCAACCAATTTTTTTGACTGACTAAAGATCCCAAAATAATCCTGGCTGACCTATCTTCGAGGCACTGTAAAGCACAATGAAAGAAGATAATACAACGAAAGCAATGAAAGTTGTTTTCATTGCATTGAGCTATTGCCAGAAAAGATGGCAAGAGAAAGTCTACGCACACGATCTCCAAACTTAGCTCAATCCACAGTAATATGCTGAACATGGAGAAATGGGAAGATTTTCAAGCGATGTAAGCACGACAACTGCAATACTTAAGACTATGATATATTTGATATTTAAAGTACAATTGTACAAAGAGCTCTTCAGGCTAATGCAAATGTACTCACGAATTCTAACCAACAACTCTTATATATAAATATCAGGAATGTAGAAATGAAAGCTGTGGAAAATTTTAACAGCGCAGTTTGGGCAGGACATATCAGTACAAAGATTGGCGCAACTTGTGTAAAATGAACAAAACTCAAACTGGTTTATTCATGTGAGAATCTTCTCGATGGCGTAAATGACATCACCACCGAAGCATTTCATGAGCACTGCCTGGCATAAAAGCGTCCAACTGGAAACTATTATATTACTCTTCCAAAAAAGTTTTTGCGGAAATAATTGATGTGCGAAATGAGACAAGCCATGGGTGTGAACCGCCTGAATTCCTTCACCCACTACTACCCTCAACGATGTAGAGTTCAACCCATTCAGTCAGCGCTCCAAAATCGGAGGTCACAGCGCATACGTAAACCGATTGTCATCACGTCACGCCAGTAAAACAAGTTCTGTGTTATTCCACAAGTGAAATTTTAGTCTTGGCTAGCTTTGCCCAACTGATAATAACTATTTAATTTAAGCTAAAGCATAGATCGAGTGTTCAGGTATAGTGGTTAAGCGACTTCGAGCAATTCTAATTTCTAGATCATATCTACTGGTTTTGATGCCACAACCCAAATCGGAATTACAACAACGATAATTTTTGCGATTTAAATTCTATTTACCGCTAACTAAAAGACTAATGGAGTAAGATTGGTGGATACAATAACCCGAAATCGGTCAAACGCCGAAAGACAAAGGTTAATTATGGTCCTTTATTAAAATGTCGGAAAGGGCCATTCCTCTCGTTGTTACTGTCGGTCTTAAAAATGCGACAGACCTCTCTCTAATTAATAATTTCACAGAGCAGGAAAAAGCATGGATCATAGCCTGTGCACGTACTTAAACGCATATGTAAATTTCGGTTAACAAACGTGCAAATTTATCAGTTCGCCATGGTGGAGTGTAAATAATCTATTAACTCTAGTGGCTCCTGACTGTAACATATCTGTTTGGCATTTTAACCAACTGTCATACCCGCCTTACAAAACACATCATTAAATGGACCCGGGTATTTTCACTTCCGTCGAGCACACCTCGCGTGCGGAATGCAGTTGGAGCGCTACACCCCCATCGCGCTTGTGTGGGGAAAGCACAGGCGGCACCGGGACAGCAACAACGGCTGTTAGCAATTTCGAGTTCGTGCTGCACAAGTCCATGATCCCGTAATTTATAAAAAGTTAGTACCTAGGACTTATTCATGCAACAACAAAAAATCGTGGCTTTTGGCTTGGACAGTAAAACTTGCATACGCCGTGTAACAAAGTGTCCTAAAACGAATTCTAGAGTTTAAACATCTGCTGATCGGATCCAGCAGAACTTGACTTGATTTATTAAGCATAATCCCACTGTAATTACCACGGTCTCATAGGAAGGTCTATTTTTACGGCCCTTTTCCTTAGGCATTTTTGTTGATTTGTGTAAAGCCAAATCCAAAACCAACGCATTCAACGTAAGACCACTAGAAGTCGACACCAAACTCGTAAAATTCGTTTTCCACACGATTAAATGCAGTCTTTACCACCCAAAAAGGTAAGCAAAGCGAATGTGTCACACAGTAACGCTAGTGACAACAGTGGTGGTGAGGGAACGGTACACAATTACACTGGCAGCTATCATTATCAAAGGGCTAAACTTGAGCGTGTGGCGTAAAATGAACAGAATGGCTCATTTTCTTATGTAAACCGTAGAATTCTGCATGCTCATGCATTTGACGAATTATATGTAAGGAAGTAAAAAACGCATTCTCGTGGTGCGATCATTAGGACGAAATTAGAGAATCAAGTGATAAAAACTGTAAATTTTGCAAGATTGCGTATACATTGGTTAGTGCCATCAACACACATTCCCCAAGTAAGGCTGTGCCACATTGGCACTTTCAAGAATGCAAGTTAAGACAGGCACTAAACACGTTCTCGCTCATCCAAATGCCTACTGAACCGAATTTTAATGGTGACAGTTATGAGACGATAGAGGCTAGGTGGGAAAGGGCTTACATAAATGATGGCGACGGTAAGCTCCACAAGGGTCAGCGTCAAGAGGACATCATAGAGTACTTCCGCGCATCTGGGGGCAATTTTCATTGGCCTGACAACGATTCCTCTGCATACAGACGCGCAGACAGACGCCTGCTCACAACAAATCCCGGCGTGATGGAGGTGGAGGTGGTGGTGTTGACATTTCCTTGTCCCTCTCAGCCAGGACCCTCATCCCCTGAACCTGCGCACGTACGCACACAGGAACCCGTTTTCGTTTTCTCTGGCAACCAATCACAGACAGGCGACAAGCTCCACATTAATCCATTTATCACTTGCTCCCTGTGTGCCAAAATCTGTGAATGTGTGTCTGTGTGCGTGTGTGTGTGTGTGCACACCTATGGGCTTCTGTGTATCCGCACTATGGTGGAGCCTGTTCACCGCCTTGTATTCCGCTTCTAACATTGGCCAGTGAGACGCATGCGCTAATTAACCGTGATTTGCCCCATTTCAAAGCATAGCTTTGGCCTGGATCAAAGCTTGTGACGGTCTGTGCACAAAAAGTTTCTCCCAAGACATGTTGTCACCTGGATGTCAGAGGAGCGGTGCTGTCTGTGTGATACGTCATCTAACGGTTGATTTGCTCGTGTTTACAATCATATTTGACAACTCCTTGTCATATCCCATTGATTAAGCGCCCTTGAAAGTGTAATGAATCGAAAGAGGATGGCACAACTAAATAATATCAAATATGCTCCTTCTTTCTGACCTGGTTCAAACACTGTCTTGAAGGTTGGAGCAAAGTGCCGCATTTTACGCCAGAATGGCTCAAGTTAACTTTTTTGTCTCACGACTGAACCATATTGGCGGTACAAAGAGGGATGGCACCTCGAAGCGAAGAAAAGACCGTCGATTTTGCGTTATTTCGACGTCGGTTACAATGGAGGTACTCCCTTTGCTGGAGTGGAACAACGACTGACCGAATGAGTGTTTTAAAGAGGCTCTATCCATTCTGAAGGTTTATAAAAAAAAGAAAAAAATATTTTGCCTCTTTATTGTGCCGTCCGTTATGGAACTTTACTGGGAAAACCTACGTTATTGGGCTTAGGGGCATCGGAAGACCATTGCATTCCTTGCACACCTTTCCCGGTGCTCCCGATGTCTACCTAAGGGATGCGTCAGAAATGCTTCTCGCGGTATAAGAAATCCTGGGCCAGGAAAACCAGTGCCTTTCTGAGAATTTTGGCATAGCCAAAGTGAAAAATATCCAAAACATCAGTCCCAGTGCATGAAAGGTTAAAGTTTCATTGATTAAACTTCCTTCCAAGAGGTTTTTAGCTCTCTCAAAACGGAGGTCATTTCTTTTTGATTGCTTTGTTTGATCTCTGTTGCGAGAGATCGGTTTGCAGTTTGGGTATGGTAGACATTTAGCGAAAGTGTGTCCCAGTGCACCACCGCAAGGCCTTTCAGAAGCTGCTCCATAGCGCAACCCCGGAGCAGGCGGTCAGGGCGGCCGTAGGCGAGACAGCGCCCAAACAAGTAAGCCAGAACAGGCTGCTAACTGAATCCCTCATTAAAATAATTAATTGCTTTTAGTGTAACTCATGTCCATTTTCTAATTCACTTTCATTTTTGTTTTAATCCACGACACACGACCTTGGAAAGCTTTCAACAACATCGAAAGAAGGCTAATTTTACCTTAAAAAGGCGTGTTATGCCTGCTGTAGAATCGCAGATCTCCTCTTAAAACCAACATGTCTAACTAATGGATAGAATGTGTATTCCCGACAAACAAAAAGCAAATAGGGTGGCTTAGAAGCCACTGCCGCCAGCAATAAGAACGGTTCTGGCAACCTAAACAAAAAGAAGAAGTAAACAATCGTGGCAAGGTAGAGACCCATCCTATTGCCTTTAAGCCTTCGCAATGGCCATCACAATGGTAGTGTAGGATTAACAGCTGCCCGGTCATGGCGTATACCTGCCACTAGTCTCAATAACACTGCCCTGTTAGTAGTCGTTTGCAATGGATGGGGTTTAACGTGATGTCGGAGACATGAGGAATTGCGTCTATTTCATTTGTTACGCTGTTGTCATTTCACCGTCGTCAAACAATGCCTATCCAGATTCTGTCAAGCAAGCAGGAAGGAAGGAAGCAGAGGGATAGCACGTGATCACAAGTGCTGCAGACGCCTCCGTGAGAAACTTTTCCCAGGATTTTGCAGCTGATGTCGTTCACTGCAGCTGTTACCACCATTCTTGTGAAATGCGTAACTAGCCAATTCCCAAAGGTATACGCTACTTTTAGTCCGTCTGTTAGGAATCGTTATGTCTTCTCTCACCCTCCCTCGCCCCCTCCTCCTCCTCCTAACAAATGCCCTCCTTCCGACAACCTAAGGTTTAGCATTCTGCAGTTGAAACCATCGTATGGGACCGGATTTGCTATCTGCTTCCATACAAGTAGTGACTCAAGTTCTTCCCGTTGGAGATGGGTGAAGGCCTTAAATTGGGACGAAATACGTGTTGTCTGCGTTTAGTCTGTCTGAAAGGTTAACCGGCTGTCTCACAGCATGTCCCCATCTGTCGGAGTCTCAGCTGGTTACCAGACCAAGTGGGCCTGTTAAATAAACGATTGCTGTATTGTAATGCAGCAAATTGGGCGAGAAAGATCTTTGAGATTCTTGTTTAAATGTTTAAAACTTTTCAGCCGCTGATTGGACAAGTAAAAGATTTGTGCTTAATGAGCCAGTGATGCAATCAAAAGGTCAATCCAGGAAAAGGCATTGAGATAGTCTTGACTTGACCACCTTTCTCCAGAGCCTCGTTTGCCCGACACTGACTTTGCACTGGCGACGGTGGGGAACAGAAGACAGTGATGATTTAATTTAAAGTAGGCTAGAATTTGGCCTCCCTCAAAACAACTAAGTGGAAAGTAACCTCATTAGGTAGAACCATACAGGAAGGAGGCACGAGAGAAAGTGGTGGAACAGATTAGAGAGTGATGAGGACTAATGAAATGGATAAAGCTGCTCTCATAGGAGAGTCTTCTGTTTATGAGTGGTAGTAAAAATCGGAGCAGAAGAATCGCCTAGCACTAATTGCACTGGATAATCGAATGGATTTGTGATGACTTCTTGTGCAAACAAACAACTAATAAAAGCTAAAAGCTTCCTTAAGCGTGGTGTTTGCCGAAAGGAATTGGCAGTGCACTCCACAAACACATCCCTTTCCATCAAAAGGGAGATTTGTTGTGGACCCACCCATGCAAAACCGGCTGCTTCTTGAGGTAAACAACAACAAAGCCTAAATGCCGCCATCTCCGTTTTTGCCTCACCCCAACCCCCTTCAACACTTGTGCCATTGTCGAAGTGACAATGGGCAATGGGATGAGACAATTACTGGAACAGGGGGAAGGTGAAAAATTGGGTACATAAAAAGAGGACGTTGAAGACCCTTCTCCTCTGGCCTAAAAGTGGATCATATTTCAATTACAAGTGGCCAAAAGAGTTGAGACCTAAAATGGAATAACTGCTGGAGTTGGCACAAAACCTTGCAATTCTCTGAGATATTTTGTCTTCTTAATCATCCAGATGGAGATGCTGGAGGGAAACAGGTTTCTAAAGGCAGTATTTAGCTAGTCTGAAAAGGAGGTAATCTTACTTTCTTGCGCCAATTGAACGGTGGTATCGAGTGGGTCAGTCATTCGCATCTCTTTTCCACATACTTTGAAAGTGGTCCACCACAGTCAGGCCATGTGAAACAAAGGAGCTGACTGACAGCCTTAAGGCTTCCTCTCACCAATTGAATCTTAGTGTGAATAGCACTTATGACCACAGCAACGTCCTCCGATGTGGTGAAGCCCTCGGGACTGACTCGACTCCTTTGACCCCCTGTGAATGGAATGGAAGTCAGGGGAAGTTCATGACACAGACTCGGGTAAGATTATATATTGGCAAAGCATACAAAATAACATTTATTTTGACGACAAGGGGATCTGCCTTCCCTGTAGTCTTGCGACTAGCTTCACCTCAGTTCATGGTTTGGGTTAATTGCAGTTGCAGTCATTAAGTTGTGTTAGGTCCCGTTAAGGGTAGCGGACATTTTGCTAAATGGATGGTTAGGATAAGAGAGAACCACTACAGAGGGCGATGAAGGTGAAACGAAGTGTAGGCTGATGTAAATGGCCCTCTGATAGACTGGTTGGGCAGAGCGATGCACAGTCACAATTAATGAGGCAGGCAAACATTTATTAGCAATGACAGGCATCTTACAAGCTCGACCGAATGCATTATATTGCGTGAAATCCAATAAAAATGCCGTCAAATGTTTCCACATTCACGTCCATAGTCCGTTGAAGTAATATTAGTTATTCCCAGATCGTAGAATAGGCGCCTCTGTGACCAAAGTTGCGACATTATTTATCGTGTCGGTTTAAAAAAAAAACAGTGAGTACCAGTGTTTTTGACAAAGAGCGAAATTCTACGCTTCATTTTATATGAACTGAAACAGTGCAGGGCAAAATTACTTAGAGCGTCAGTTTTTGTGAAAGGATTTGCTTGGCTGCATTCCTAGCGTGACAGACTCCATGAGAGTTGTCAGCCTGCTCCACTGTGCACAATACTTGGCGGCAAATGCATTCTGCCTAGCGCTCAGTTAAGCTGGCAGACTGTTTTTGATCAAAATCATAACGATAGTGCTAGAGAGCCATTCTCACTCCTGTCTGGGATTCTAAGTGCTGTGGAGCGGTTACTGTTGTGACCGCCGCCTTGGATTTTCATTGGGTGTGAGATTATCATTACGGGAAGATGCAGGGCTGGAATGGGCTGTTCAACTAGGAAGTGTGGAGAGTGTCAATGCCTGATGGAAGAATTGCGCTGTCAATTGTAGTGAAACAGCCCAGTAACACGACTCGCTTTAAATAATCGACCCCGTCTTAGAGGAGGCCGCGAGTGCGCAGGACCAAATCTCGGCAGTTAGGATGAGTATGCCATCCACAGGAATGAGCTGGTTCCACTTGCAAGCGAACTGTCTAAGTGTTGAACCATGCAAATGGACGGCTAGTGGCTTCAGCATTATATCGCACCAATAGAGAAAAAACAGTCGCCTAATGTGGGTTTTTTTGCAGCATCATGGTACTCCTGAAAGCAAATGTTTCGTCTTTACAATAATTCATAGTAGAGAAATTCCCAACAGTACATGCGTGCATTTCTACAAGAATGCAATTTTTTGGTTTCAAGTGCACTCCAAAGGTGTGCAACACTTTAGCAGATGTTGAACTTAAACGTATGAGGTCAGCCCTAATTGACTGATGTGGAGTCGACGGGGCGAGGGGAGTATGGCGGCTGCTGCTATCAGCACAGGGCCCAGTCCTCTCGATGTAGGCACAGCGGCCGCGTTCCGTCACACAGACGAGTTTATGAACAAACAATTACGACATTAAAATACGCTGTATTTCTGAAAAAAAA